TGAAGCAAAACCAAAGGATACTGAACTGATTCCAACTATGCAAAAGATTTCAGGCCCAAGAAGGCAGGGGGAGCACATGACTGCAGGTGATGTTCTGTCGTTTAATGGCTCTTACCTCTCTCTTTGTCTGATACATTGTGAAAAATACCTTCTGTAATCCTGGAATGCCTTCCCTTCGTGGCAGACCCCATGTGAATTTGTGCAGAGGGGCTTTAACAAGTCTTGGAGCATCTCTCAGATGAGAGGAAGTGGCATGGGATGGATCATGGGGAACAGCAGTATTTGGGGAAGGTCTTGGTAAAAGACAGACATCTTGTTCTGAAAAAACACATTTCCACCTGCTCTGGCACCCCTCTTTGGGGAAAACCACCTGCCCATGGCCCAAGTTCACCAATGTGACTTGAAGACATTGGAGTCTCTCCTTCTGTGATCTCCACCCTCCTGCAGAGTCCTGCCAGCCACCCCTCTCCTGTGCACAGCAGCTCCCAGGCAGTCCCTGCAGAACAGCCAGAATCCAGCACCTGGCAGCAAAGCCCCATCCTCAGCACTGTCCAGCACCCCAGAGCCACAGCCCAACCCCAGCACTGCAGCAGGGCCCCAAAGCACACCAGGAGCAGCCCCCAGGGCTGGCACAGCCACTCCTTCCTGGGCCAGGCAGCTCCAGAAGAGCCCTCCTGGAGGTCCTGTGAATTCCCCCCAGGCAAAACAGGTGCTGCTCAAACACTTGGGCTTCAGCTTCATTTGTGCCATCCGAGGCACCAAACAGCCATGGCAGGCTCAGGTGTTTTCTGCACACAGATGTGGAAACTCTCCTCCATGGTCCTTACTCCTGTCACCTTCCCACGCTGACCAAATTATTCCCAGGGCATCTGATAACCTTCCCCAGCTGCAAACACACATTTGTGCATGCCCATGGTAAAGTTCTGGAGTATAAGAAACAGGGGGGCATTTCAGTATCTCGGTGAGAGCACCCACATTGTCTGCACATGCCTTGGAGTGGGGTGAGAGGGGAGGATGGGGCAGCACTCCTGCCCTCCTGCTGGGCTGCTTAGCAGAGGAAATGGAGAGGTCAGAACCTGAATTTTGCTCACCATTTCCTTTGTCATGAAGCTTCTAGCCTAGTCCTAGGCACATTCTTCACTTTATTACAGCTGCATTTGTTAGAGTGCCCTCATGTTACACCAGTAAGACAAATAAAGGGGCAACCAATGTCACCACCAGCACATTAATTTTTACGGGCCACAGCAGTCATGACAACAATGCAGGGCTTTTTATGTCTGCAGGCAGCAGAATCTAAAAGGACACCTCTGTTTCCCTTCCTGACTACAATCACTGCGAGCCCTGAGCAGCAGGAGCCACCACGGGAGGGCTGCCTGTACACACAAAGAGTTTATAACCTGCTGAGGAGGGCAGTGGGGAACATGAGCTTCCACTCCAAATCAGACATCTGCTTGATTTTATTCTCACTCTGTACACACAGTAGCACAGCTACTTTGGAAATCCAGACCTGGCCTCCTGCCTACCATTCAAGCAGTTTAATTCGTATTTAAGGTGTGAAAGTGAGCAAGGTGTCCATGAGATAACACCAGTGTCATCTACTGACTGCAGCTCCTCCACTTTGAGTTCTTGTATATACCACTTCTATGTATGTACCACATACTTTTTGTCACTGTAAAATGATCTGTGAAGTCTGTTTAGAACAGACTCATTTGTAAGGGGAAAAGCAGAAAACTCAAAAAAAAATCTCCTGTGCTGTGCCTGATTCCACTTCCAGGTAGAAAGCAGAGACTGGAAAAAGCAACAGTAAGAGGAACAGAAAACCAGAAAGTGAAAACCATAAAGCTTCTACAGAAGCAGGAATAGCAATGGAAAATTTTGGGGAAATTTTACTTTTTCCTTTGTCCTTTTGTGAGAGATATCTGTCCCTAAAATCCATGCCATATTAACTGTGTTACCTATTGAAAAATCAAGAATGCAAAACATAATGCTGCATACAATGCAAGAATGGCCAGAGAACACACCAAAACAATTCTCTCAGAAAACACCAGAGTGCACTACTGCATAGCTATCATCAATTCCAAAAATTGTGCTTTAAACTTTGTCCAGTTGGAAAGCTCCACAGATGGAGATTGCAGAGCTGCTCTGAGGAATCAGTTTCTGTGTTTATCCTCCTTAATGTTTTTCCTTTCACTTAGTATCTCACCTCTATCAATTTTTGACCAGAATCTCTTCTCCTATCATACACATCAGTGAAAAGCCTGGCTCTGTATTCCCCATAGCTTTATCATATGGATTGAGGCTCAGCTGTTAGATTCCCTCCCCAAGTCTTTGGCCTTTTCTCACAGGATGGTGCTCCAGTTCTGACCATCTTGATAGCTCTCCTTTAGAATCGCTCCAGTCTGTTTTGGATCTTATTATGTGTGCTAAATACACATCATTGCCTACACCAGATTCTCCAGATGCTTCATTTTGTTTTCTTTGGAGGCTTCCATTATCAAAGTAGCAAGAACTCGTGATGCTTCTATGGAAACCTAAACATGAGGATTCTGAGGCAGGTGGACACCTCACACTGCTCTGAATTATCAGCAGAGGTAAACAGACCTGGGTATCAATGGTCTCCCTGCCTGTGGGAATCCAGACAAACCTTTTGGCCTGCTGTTCCTCTGTCAGGAAAATAAAGACAAATTCCACCTCTACTTGGATTTCCTGAGGTACTTACATATACAGGACTAACTAGTTCATCTAAAAGGAATGAAACAGCAGGTTTCATTTGTTCATGAGGTACCCAAAGATTGCACTAAACTCACCACAAACACTTCTCAATTTGTCCTTTCATTAATGAATAGCACTTTCATACTCGTAAGGAAACTGAAATGTCATGACTGTACATTTCTGGTGCTAAACACAATTAAATGGCAATATAGACAATACAGTCACAGTGCTGTTATACTGAAGAGGGGTATTTCAGTTAACATCCAATTTTTAAACATTTTGAAAGCAAGATCATTATATTTACCTGACTTGCTGAGGGTGCATATTGTTGCCTAATGAAATGCAATCCGTGGCATGCATCACCTTCACCTCTTTCTAAAATTTGATGCTTCACTGTGGTCCTGAGTATGTTACAAAAAGCATTTCATTAAAGGAGGGCCTTTGGTGCAAGGATTTCTGCTTTCAGCAGTGAAATTTCAGGTGTCATTCCAGGCAGCAGAGTACAGGGACCCCTTTGCAGCAGAGCCCTGCTCTCTTGAAATGAGACAAAAGCTCCCTGGGAAATAGCATGCTGGTGTGCCTGACATTTGTCCTCTGCTGACAGGAATTAGTAATGGCCACAGATTTTAGACTGTATCAAGAGTTCTACAAAGCGACAGACAGCTCTGCTGCCTCCTGAGCTCACTGTGTACACAAAGAGAAGAGGGCATGAAGGGGAAAATGTTCTTTTGGTGGACTTATGAAACCTCCTCTTTTCTCCCAATAACAGTATGGTAGGAAACCAATTTTCCCAGACTTCTCCCAATGCAAGTCACTGTCTCATTTTTGAGGTCATTACTGTTGTGGATACTACTGCAAAATACTCACTCTGCAGAGTGGATTTTGCATACTATGTAACAGGAGTTTTAAAATATTTAAAAGCACACCTCAAGAAAACCCTCAACCTCCCCTTGAGATTGCAAACAGTTCCCAAAATATCACTTTGATGCATCGTGCATGTTTGCAAATCAGACAATTATACTAATTTATATGTCAAAATTAGGTGAGTAGGTGTACCACTACAATTTTTACTCAGAGCACAAGAGCCTGACAATGGTAATTGAGATCACAAGTGAAAATTAGCCACATTGGATTCATGGCAGAGAAAAATACAGCTTTCACATTTTATCTGCATTCAAATTATCTTTCTGACTTGTACATACAACCTTTTGCTCTGATCCTGTGTTCATAACTTGCTATTCTTTTCCATATATATCAAGAGGTTATGAGAAATAAAATTATTTCAAGTTTTTTGGTACAAGGCATATAGTATAATGACTGGACAGTCATAATCTGGAATTGTGTGGTGAGAATTACAAATCAGTGAGTGAAGCTGGAGAAGTACTTCAGTGAACAATACCTTGCAGAAACCTTGCAAGACAAACACAGAGCACTATTAAATTCTACAGTATGAAGTATTTCCAGTTACATCCCTGCTGTGAAACTCACTTGGGAACAAAATGGATTATTGTTAAATAATAATCTGAACATGACTGAGTTGTAATATGACAACAAACCATTAGGTCTTGTTTTGTGTTTTGAGGAGATTTAGGCAGGTGCCCAAGTTGTCAAGTCAGTTACTTTTCAGAGTATCTACTGAAACTAAACATTAATAGTACCACTAACAGGTCCTGGTAACACTGAACTCTGCAGCTGCATCACTGCTGAGCACTTTTCATCTGCTATGTTTAGAAATGCATTATTACATTACTCTCTTATTTCTACAATTATTTTTTCCTGCTGGCTGAAACTCATTATTGTAATATAAACCTCATAACACTGAAAATATTAATATTCATGCAAACTTCTTCACAGTGGGAAAGGAATGACTCAGACCTGTAACTTCTCTTACACATTCTACCAACAATCTCTTAAACAAGTGTCAAATACTGTGATTTTATACAAACAGCACCACTTAAAATTTCAAGAAAGCACACCAAGTACCTTTTCAAAAATCTTACTTTTATTGTTTGTACTAACTGTATCATCATTAACAGCGTTCATCTCTAACACACTGAAGAAAGGCAGTACACACAAAAACCTATGCAAAGTCAAGCAGATCCTTGGTTACATAAATGCAGTACACCTTGGTGTGTAACAAGCCTAGGGGAGGTCAGTTAATTCTAACACTTTAAGCACAATCACTTCAGTTTTCTGAATTTTTCAGAGCTGTTAAGAAGTGAGTTTCTTTTTTCATTTTTTCTTTAAAAATGAAACAGCTAAAATATTTATAGAAATTACTTATTTTAAACCAAAATTCTTACATCTAAATTACTACAATGCAGCAAAGGACCCTTCTTCAGCAGCAATATCATTGCTCTGCAAAACAAACAAAAAAAAAAGAGAAAATAATTAGTCACTTTGCTGTATTAGGCAGAAATTATCATTAGCAGCCTAAACACTTGCCAGCTCACACTGCATATATTCCCATTTCTATCAAATTTGCCAGGTCCGCTCACCAGCTCCTGGCTTTCTCTCCAAGCTGGAACAGAAGAGAGTATAAAACCAATCACTTCTCCAGTGAGTTTTTAAATGCTGGCTGAAAACCTGAGACTTGCCAAACAAGTGCCTGCATGTGACCCCCTACTGTACAGTAACATACTTGCAAACCTACACAGTCCACTTGGGTTTACTCATTTCTGCAACGGGTTTATGAACTAATTTTTCAGATTAAAATGTTTCATTATTAGCCAGCAGTTTTAATGAATAAGCTTTATTCCTTCAGTCTCTGAATGTAGTTTGTTCTAACTGCTGCATTTGGCTGGACCTGATGCATTTATCTTACTTCCCTGGCATAAATCCAGAAGTCAGCACAAGAGGGAAGGAGTGACAGAAGGCAAAACTTAGCCCAATTCAAACAGTTAGAACTGAAATACTATAGGATTAATAACAGATAGGGCAAACACCTCTGTACATACTTAAAACCTTGCAGGAGGCTGTATGAGAGTCCTGAGCTAATACAGATCACTAGAAATTTAAGCTGCCCAGCCTCTCAAAAGACACAAAACAGGCCTTGTAATGTTAGATTTTAGCAAGCAGGCTTAGCACCTCCCTGTCCACATCCCTGAGACCCCCCGAATCAAAACAACTACTCTTATTTTAATTTATATTTTTAAATAATTACTCTTAAGTATATTTTACTGTGCTTCCAGATGAGTTTTACCTGAAGAAAATCCTTAACCCCTAAAGATGCCAATGATGTAGGAGCAGACACCATGCAGAGATTCCCAGCAATGTTCCCGTGCCAGTTTCATGGCTTCTGTTTCATTTTCAGACCCTTGACCATGTTGGGTTGAGTCAAAGTTTTGCCCCGCTTCTCTCATAGGAATAGAAGCTTTCTGGACTGACTTTTCCTGGTTTGCTAGATCTTCTGGCTCCACACCAGCAGCTATTTGCCTCATGAGAGCCTCTGGGGGAGCTTTTTGGCACATGGTGGTCTTCAACACTTCCATGGATTCGCACGCGTGCGGGATCTTTCTGAGTTCCGCGGCGATCTGATTCCAGTAAATCTTTGGATTATTTCTGAAAGCACGACAGACTGATGGCTTGCCAGTGAATTCACACCAGTAGGACATGCCTTGGCTTTTGCATTCAATTCTAAGTCTCATCTCCTCATCATCACCACTCACGGTCATTGTGCAAACGTCTTTGGTTTTAGTCCGAAATTTGATTTCTTCACCACTGCTTCTTCTCTTTGGCTTCAGCTTCTGTCCCAATCCTTCCATGACACAGATCAAAACTAGGAAAAGGAGAGCAAAACTCTTCATGGTGAGAGGAGTGAGCCAAGGTCCTTGAACAACACAATCGAAAAAAGTGAAAGCAGCAAGTAAATGGCCGCTCACAATTTAAAGTCTTGGTGCACAAAGAAGCCTCTTTCCAGCAAAACATGGAATGTAAAGGTTGGGCATTTTTATAAAAATAATAAATCACACTTCAGTAGGCAAGTGCCCATAATTTATAGCCTGAGGGAGTGTCGAATAACCCTGGGAGTGTGAACTCCCAAAAAGGTAACAAGACAAGTCTTGTAAATGCAGTTAAATACAAAAGATAGTTGTATAACTGAGAAGCACATTCCTATCCAAGATGAACATGTCATATTTGATTTTTAACAGATATTTTCCATTCTCCAGCTGCTTTATAGCTATCTTCATGCTAGAGCTTGTAAGACCATATCAAAGTGAAAAAAGAAGTGCCAACACAATCTCTGCATCTGAATGATTATAAATGTAGTGTAAGTGTCCTGCTGAAAAAGCTGATTTGTGGAATGCGCTTTCTGTGGATTTTCACAGTAAGGATGGAACTTTAGCTCTTCTTTTTGTCCACAAATGACATGCAGTGGTGATGCATGGAGGGATCAACTGCACACTCTGTGAGCCACAGAAGCAATATGTACATAAGAAAAAAAAGCTTAAGCAAAATAAAAGTATTAGTGTAAAAAAACACCAAATATTTTGAAGTTTTATCATAATTTTCACATCACAAGTCACTTTCAGCCAACAGAGCAAGACAGCAGAACTAACTTATCACAGCTCTCAGCAGCAGGGAACAGACCACAGAGCATGTCAGACAGGTATTTGCACACTTTTCCTGTTTATTAACAAGTGAGCTGTAAAAATGCTGTAAAAAAAAGGCAGAAGAAGAGAAATCTTGTCCTGCAGAATATTGTCCTAGCAGTTTCTGCTGCAGTAACTAAAAACAGAACTAAGGAAAAGTCACTAACTCCCTTAGCCTTCAGAAGGTCATGAGAAAAAAATCCCTCCCCTGCTGTGGCAAACCACAGTACTTTCCTGGCCAGAAAGACCCCCCAGTCACTTCTTCCAAAGACATATATGCTACAGTCAGCCTGACCTGACCAGCTCCTGGTAAGGGCTATTGGATTGTTTAGGTATGCTTCAGTAACTGGGGGGTGCTGGGAACCCTGGGTTTAAGACTGGCCATACATAATGGAACAGAACAGCATTTTGTGTATTTAGTCACTCACTAGGTAGTGCTAAACAAAGTACCAAGGCAAAACCATTCCTTTTAACACAGATGGCAAAGCAGAACAACATCAATAACAACAAAAGCTTCGTAGAGGACAGAAGAAGGACAAGAGTCCCTCGCTGCTGTGGCAGCACAGATAACCTGAAAGCTGCACAGATAACCTGAAAGCTGCCTGCTTGAAGATGCAGCCACCTGAACAGCCATTCTGAGTATCTAACCTTGTTCTTCCAGTCAATGCGCCATCAAGTTCCCGTGACTGAAAACCATTTGACAGAGAGAACAACCTTGTTTTCTTTTCGTTCCCTCTCCATGGCTATTTTAAATAACACTTTCAGCAGAGACCTCATCTCTAGCTTCTTTCCGTTAGTTCCTCCTCTCTCTTTCAAGGTACAGTGGTGTGGCTCCAGCCAAGTCTTAGGACAACAGTGGCATAAGCCTACTTAAGACTTACCATTCACTCTTCTGTTGTTTTCTGGGGAGCCTTCTCACCCTTCAGGCAGCCAGGCAGAAGAATCTTGTTACCCACCTCACACTCAGTTTCAAGGTTTTCAAATCCCTACTGCAAGCACTCAAATATCTCCCAATATTTGACAAACAAATGTATTGTTTATAACTCTGTTATGCACAACAGAGTTGTGCATAAGCACTGAGAATTTTAGAATTGCTGAAGAGTTCAAAACAATTCAAAAGTTGATTTATACCATTTTCAGATCTCAAAGTTTTTCAAGTCTAAATATGAGAAGAAAATAAACTACAAGGATAAGAAGAAATATCAAAGCTTGGACTCAAATATATTTATGTGTTACATCAAGTGTTTGACTCATTCTAATCTGACATTTTGGTTCTGTCTGCCTGTGCTTCAGATTAAACAGTTTGTGGTCTCTCCTATCAGTAGAAAACAATTTTACTTTTACAAGGTAAGCTAGGATGCCAGCAGTGAACCATGGGAGCTGAAGAACTAGCAAATGTTTAATTTTGCTGTCAGTGCTATACAGAAAGAGGTTATATGGATAGCCTACCATCTTGCATAATTCATATTCTTAGTAGAAGTTGGAAGCTCCCTCACCCAGAGTCAAAGTTCTTACAGTCCTTCCTACTGCAAAAGTAAAAGACAAATATAGCAAAAGCTTTTAATCAGGGTAAAGAAATTCTTACTCTCGTAAGATTTTAATTCTTTGCAACTCTTCTGAGAGATGTCTGCACAATAAAACAAGGGAGAACCAAACATAAGGTAGTTAAGCAAGATCTTTTTTATTTAAATGAGCTGGGAACATTTCCTCAAATTAAAAATAGAAACTTTTAAAAATCTGAAGTTCTGAACATTACATATACACATATGCTACATACTGTCAATTAGAAATGTTTCCATTTATGACATAAAAATGAAAAATTTAAGGTTATTCTGGATTAAAGACTGGTATCACTTTACAGCATTTCTTTAAAATTATAATAATGATGTGATGGATTATCTCTACTTCAAGACAATGAACCCTATTTGAAACAAAGTTAAAAATACTGATAGATGAAAAGGTATTATTTTAGATCAATATATTAACTACTTCAGAAGGTTTTACACTGGTAACATAGTTTTGGCCTTGTTGATAAAGTCTGCTGTTAATTAATTCAGCAATTCAACCATATGCCTAAATTCAATGAAATAACTCCAACAGTACAAATATTAACTCAAATTGCTAAACAGATTTGAATTTCAATACTGTAAATCAGTTTAATATAATTTAGCAAAAATACTATCACTGCCTCCAAGAGCCACAGTGATACTATTAAGGACATTACAGAAGTAGGTGTGAAAGAAGAGGAAGATAAAGAATGTAAAGCATTCTAAAAATTGCCAACTCATGCTCTTTTTGAGTACTACTGAACTCTAGAAAGCTTAGCTTTTTCACTATATTATGCATCCCACACAGTCCCAACCCTCCCACCCAAAGTTTAAAACCAAACTTCTCCAAAAAGTCCCTTTCAGGTCTATACAGCAAAACCCACTAAATATTAAATAATTAAGAAGAAAAAGAAAAAGAGGGAGAAAACAAAACTGCAACTGAGCTTCTCATATACACAAAGAGACACTCTGGACCCCATTACAATCCAAATTTAGTCCAATGTAGTCATTCAAGAGCACCAAATAGCAACACTGATCATGCTGGTAAATTCATTTGTGAAGAGTATTATACAATATTAAAATCTTAACTAAACACTTAGAAGTTTTAAGAAAAACATATATACAAAATTCTCTGTATACAAAATGTATTTGTATGTAAACGTGTATGTACTGTATTTAACACAAGTCAACAATTTAAGATAAGAACTTGAACAATTTTAAGAGAATTGCTAGGCAAAGGCTGTTAATCTAATTAATTTATACTGTGATGTACGGTAGAAAGCCCAGTGTAAAAAAGTAAAAAACCAAAAAAACATTTTAATTCAAGCCTTGAACAGTGGTATTTGAGAGGCAGTGCCTTGATCACAAAATATTCTGTACAGTAGTTTATGGCATAACATTCAATAGTACATTTGGGATTTACAGTACAGCTGACATAAAACAAGTGGCTCAGGATCTGTCAGATAAAGGGAAATGCCAATATGCTTGGAAGAATAATGATGTATTTATTCCCTCAGAAGAGTCTTGAGCCTCATTTATATAGCCTGGAAAGAATAACAAAAAAACAATTCAGGAAAAAAATTATAAGGATTGAATTTTAACGTAATTTAAACAGAACAAAGGGACAGATTTTAATATGAATATCAATATGACTGAATAACCATTTTTGGTTTTAGACCTTACAGAACACTCATGTTGTAAAGCAGTAATAGGTCTAGAATTGACTTAAGCTTTTTACTTACCCCTTAACATTTCCAGTACGTGTTACCACTGTTCCACAGAGCTACACAAGAAAAAATAAAACATAAAACAAACTCATCAATTTCTTTTGCCCACAAATGGAACAGAAATACGTGTCTAACTTAGGTGAGACAAGCTCAGTTGGCCTAAGATATTCTCAATGTTTTACTCATTTAATCTAGCATTTTTCAAACAAGAGGAAATAGATTCACAATTTTCTGCACCAGATAACTTTCAAGTTATCTTTATTTCATGATAGAAATAAATACTTAGATTGCCCATTCAACACCCCTCTTTTGTGAATTTAATCCAGCCTCACGTTTTGCTCTCATAAAAATGGTGGCTGCATTTGAGGTTGTGTCATTGACATGCATATAAAAATACCTGTATGAGACACATATACCTCATGTAGCCCTTACTTGTACTTACATATCTTAGTGTTATAAAAATACTTGCATCACTTTTCAAAAAAATTATCCAGCTGATTTTGAAGAATAAAAAAACCCCAATCCCAACCCCCTGGGATTCTTTAAACCTGCAAAAGTATAGGTGTACAGAGATCTATTTAAAGTCATATCTCTCAAACTATTTAAAAAAATAATTTGTAGGAAATGAGAAAAATCAAAGATAGCATAAAAGCAAAGAGTATGCTGAAAAGAAAATTAAAATCAAGATTTTATTCATATGGGAATGCCATACTTAGAAATTCAAAGCATGTATGCCATAATTAGCAGTTTTTCAAATTACCTCCGTTAGCACATCAGAAGACAGCACTGTATTAAACTGAATCTTTAAATTTTATCATTTTATCAAAAGAAGTCAGGATTGAACTAGTGGATCTTTGTGTAAAAGATTATTTTATGCTAGTAATTTTTAGGTTGTTCAGCAACACTGAATTAAACTATTTATCAGTGACTGAAATTTCGTAAAGAAAACATGCTATGAACTTCAAGAATATTAACAGTCAAAGATTCAAAGATCAAAAAAGGAATTCTAAGGCCTGGGAAATTATTAATTTTTCTTATGTAAAACATTCAAAGTCCTTAAAACTGTGAGTCCTTAGATATGCCAGTGGAGAGTTTTTTGGACTTAAACCCTTTGTCAGTTAATCTGGGGGGTAAGCACCCTTAAGTTACAGAACAGACTACAACAACTGAGATCCTAAATATGACTAAAAATAGTTATATAAAGACTTCCTTCAGAAGAAGATATGGAATGAAGATTTGATCAGTAAATAATTATTGTAAGGTATATTTCTAAATAACAATAATAACCATCCTCATCATGAGATGTAACCATGAACTCTGTCAAGACCCAAACTTTGATCACTCTCTATTTATCTGTTATGTAAAGCATAGTGGTATCTTCTCTATAAATACTCCATCTATACATTCAGTCATGAAGTTGCAAAGTAAGGCACAGCGACCTACAGATTTCAAACATTAATTGAAACCTTTCTTAAGCAACTTGCAAATTTAGCAACACCAAATAATGAAGTTGTGGGATATAGACTACTGTCCCCCTGGAAACTGAGTCTTACAACTCATGTTTATATTTACATTTACTATGTTTTACAACATAGAAACTTAGAGGCAGAATATAACCGAAATGTCCTCCTTTTTTAAACATAACTTGAGCTTCTTGCTTTGTGATGCTACATGCTAATCCTACCCCTGCACAAACACCTATTTTCTAACTTCATGCTTTCTCTACACCTGGAACACTTGCCTTTTACACAGGAGATCCCACCATTTAATAAAATAAAACTACTCAGGAGTACAAATGCATTTCCATCCTATCACTTCTATCTGCTATCACAGCATTTTAATAGGTTTGTAATTTAATAGGTTTGTCAACCACCCACTGTGCTGACTAAATACCTGATTACATGGATTTTAAGATCAAATTTACCAATTAGTTTAAGTTGCAGGAAATGACTTCAATATCTGCTGTTATGTTATGTAAAGAGTATTTGAGAAATATACATTATACAGCATTTGCTATAGTGAATGATCATGCAAAAAAACCCCCAGAGAATTAAGAGATTCACTTTAAAGCATGAAGAAAATTGGAAATGTGATTGAAAGAGATGCTGATATAAGGACACATTAAGGCATGCAGTTGCAGACTTGGTTTACCTTGTAAAAACAGGATTGTGTATACCATATAAATGCTCTTTATGATAACCATTATTACCATTTTCCGTACTGTAATAAAATAAATACACCAAGAAAGACCATGTTAACTATAAGATGCACTATGTACAATATGGCTTCTAAGACATGTACATGGATGATGGTATTAGATGCAAAGATAAACTATGTCTGTACAATAGAATATATTTTCCTTTGTAGCATTTAAGATTTATGGCATCATTATAATTTCACATTTTATAGTATTTTTATATTCTCCAAAATACAATTATTTTTCTAGTCTTGTTGAGTTGGAGACTCTAATATAATCCATTAAGTCTGGAGAAACAGAACATGTTACTTCTTTTGAAGTAACAAGTTACATTAAAAATATAAACCCTCCCACATTAATAAAATTATTTTAATAAATATCAGCAAAAATGTCTTACGTTTTCATGGGTATATTTTCGAAACTAAAAAACACAGAAAAGGAGGAATAATTAACTAGACACTGATAAGTGAGTAATTTCAGCTGTACATGCCTGTTTCTGCTCTATTCACTTGTGAATGTGCAATGAAAAACAACCACTGTGAAATGGGAGAAATGCAGTGCACAGGCTAACTGAACAATGAGCAAAACAAGGAGCAGAAAAGAAAACAGTAAAAAAACTGATAGGAAAATATGTAAGAATAGTTATCATAAAGTAAAATGCCAAGTCCCTGAGACAGAGGAACTGCAATTGAAAAGGAAAGACTGGTTAGGAATAACTAAGACAGTAAGAAAGCAAATAATTAATTCAAGGAGACTACAGATCAGGCACAATTCACTTTAACAGGTTACTTAGCAAAGCTAATAACTTGCACATTTAGAACTTATTTATATAAATGCTGCTCACAAAACTCTGAAGATCTCATTCTGACATTCTCAAAGTCAGAGCCAGCACTCTGCATTCATGGCAAGTCAAGGCTACCAAAGGCACCTGCATGAAGCACTTTGCAGGTACTGACCTGCAGCATTACACATGAACATGCACCTCTAATCTGGCAGCAGAGGTTTAAGAATTATAGAGCTGTCACATGAAACACTAGAAAAAAACATTTTAATCCATTTGTCATTTAGCTTATTTTGGAATATATACTTACTCATCATAAACATCCTCTGTATCCATTCTACGATAGTATTTAGAG